GGAGAGATGAATCATTCGTGGACAAATCAAAGCAGGACATAGCCTCTTCAGGGTTGGTGCTGGGAAGGTCATGGTTTCCAAGGGAGATGTCAAATACCAAACATCAAATTTAAATTTGATGGCTGATGTGGCAATTTGACATTTACATACTTTTACACTCTACCCGATATGTCAAATAAATAATTATTGTAACAGTCAAATCATTTAAGATAAAGAATAAAAAATAAAAAAATAAAAAAATAATAAATGAAAGTAACAGTCAGCTGTCTTTAAAAAATAATAAAATATTCATTTGACATCTTGCTTTTGAGATGTCAAAAATAACATCTCAACCTCTAGCCTTCATTCCATATCAGCTTTGACATATCGGTTGGAATGATGTGAGATGTTATTTCTAGCTGTTAAACATCTATGTGGCACGTTTGACACATCGGTTGGAGATGCTCTTAGAGAGTGCCAAAATGGTGCTTTTGTCTTGTGGCACCTTTTCCTTATTGCACAGCATATCATGGCTCCACAATTTGAACAAAAGCCAACATTTTTTTGGTTTGGGAAATTGCTTGCCCTCGTCTTTCACTGCCTCGACACATGGAACACCAGAGAGAAAAATAAAAGGGGTTTCAGAATGAGAAGTAATCGGGGGCCCATCTCTTCTTTTGTTTTTTTTTTCCTTCAACATATAAATGCAATTTTCCTTCTCAAACCCTAACTCTAACAAGAGGTGTCTTCCAGCCCCTCTCTCTCGCTCAGACTTCTTCTTCAATCCTCATCTCTCTGTCTCTTGCTCATAGCACCATCGTGATCTCTTCCCTGACCTTGGAGATTCCAAAATGGTGTTTTTTTTTTCCTATGCGCAGCGCCCGCCTAGACCCCCTACAGCCAATCTTAGTAGCATCTCCAGGTTCACCTAAAACAAACATAACACTTAATTTTGAGTTTGACGGGATACTGTTGGACTACTCACGGCAACGTACCACGCCTGAAACCTTGGAAATTGGCAGAGGTGGGGTTGGCCCATTCGTAACTAGTGTCTTGTGGGGGGGAGGGATTGGGTGAATATAGTGTTTTCTAATTGATGCTGTCTATGCCACAATGCAGGCTGCATCCCTCAAAGAAAAGATTAACCGTTTATCTTCCTTTGGTCGAGTATTATGTGGATAAATATGGAATTAAAATGCTAATTTAAACACGTTTTATCTGCAATCAGCAAGATGTGTTTCCTATTTATTTTTCGGATCTAGGGGAAGGGATTAAAATTTGGAACCTCTTCCAACAAAGTGGAGAGAACTAGCAGTAGAACAATAGCTAGTTGGTGTCTCCTAGTTAAAATTAGGATGCCCAAATTTCTGACCTTTTAACTGTCTGAAATCACAAAAAACTTGTATTTGATAGCTTTATAGGATTTATTGTAAAGATGAGACCAGCTTATTTCTGAAACCATTATCATGTGATTCTTTTGCATTCTGTTTTTCTTTTTCTGTGTGGTGCCTTCAGATAAACAGCACAGAAAATAGATCAGTGCTTCATGTAGCTCTTCATGCTCCAAGGGATGCAGTTATACAGAGTGATGGGAAAAATGTGGTCC